ATCTATACGGCCAGCGTTTTATGTATAGCATAAAACGATAATAATGGATAGAACAGCAAAAGAGATGCTTTTGCAACTACGATTTGATCATTTCCAAATTTAATGACGTTTTGGTTGATGCTCTCGTGGTTCACTTGTTTGAAGAGCTTTTTCGTTTCTTTTCTGTATAAATACATAGCGGCATGAGAGGTTCCAACGACTTTGTGGTGCACTTTGATCCTGGTTCTCCCACTACATACGGTTCTTCCCTAGTATCTTGATCAAGCCTGAACTGTTATAATGAAGCGGATATAATGGTCCATGTTCTACATTGTAGCTCACGTGGTGCCAAAAATACATATAAGCTTTTGACCGCCTCCTCTCTTAAATAAGTCACATCCAACGTGGGTAAAAGTGTCGGTTAGAAGCTAAAGCAATCAAAATTCAAATTCTTCATGAGACTCTAAAGATTAATTCCTACCTGCTTTTCAGCTTTTGGAAGGGAACTTGGGTCGGTGAGTTTAGAGCGTACTGAGTACATGAATGCATCCTTCAAATTTGTGAAACTTTACAAAAGAAGCCATCGATCTTTATCCGTCCTACCTCGACCACTTCGTAAGGAGATTTGGTCGAAGCTTCATAGTATTCATATACGCCATCTTGAGGCTCTATAAGATGAAAATCTTTTGATTTCGCAGCATGCTTCGCCGCTTCTGATTGAAGAATACAGCTCCACTGCTTAAAATGAGAGATTGGTTTCCATGCCAATATCTAGTCCGTTTCTTTGATAAATTTTAAAAAGTTGATGAGCATTTTATAGACCTTTGACGTGCTTACTGTTTTTGTCCTTTTTGAGCTGAAAATTTATGGAGCAAGTGCGAGACAGCGACTTTGGAATAAGTTGCAAACGCGTGCACTCGGGACAACATGAGCTTCTGTATGACTGAGGGCCTCAGACTAGGTCGGGTGCCTTAGCTTGTCGTATACTAAATACAAAGACGCGCTGATTGAGTAGGTATCAGCACGAATCTCAACAAGCTGTTTTTCCCCTTTTGTTGGTACTGTCGCTTTCGTCAGTTCCTATCGGTATACACCGCCTGATGCAGGCGCAAAGACTACTACTAACGATAGTTAGCCTGAGGCACATTGAGGATATCATATAGGATCAAAGGAGGACTAGGCTGCTTTATTCTACTTGAAAGATTCCTATCACTCTCCCACCACACTTGCACTACTTCATGTCGCACACCTTTATTTCCGTCTAGTAAATGCAATAAGCACTGTACGAGCATTCTCCCGTTTTCCTTCCTATATAGACACATCCATAGCTAATCCTTTTGATGGGAGTCACCGTACCATAATTTGTAAAAAAAAATGCAATTTCACAAAAAAACCCGTCGCAAGCGTCGCATTGTCATAACTTCTTAGACATAGATATTTTAAAAGGAAAAGCGGTGTTAGCAGCTCGTCCAAACGAATCCTAAGGTATGGCGCATTACGGTAACATCTAAGGTGCATGGTAGATACGGTAGAAAGCAATATCGCGAATCCGTCTGAAACGTAAGCT